ATGTTTGCTCATAAAAACCTACATTTTTATGCCATTATTTCACAATTGATTACAACTTAGTAATGAATTAATTAATGTTATGTAAAACATTATGTAATACTTATCTATTATCTATATTTTTAAAGCAAACAATTATCTAATCATAATCTCTAACCTCCACAACCAGTACGAGAGTGAGACCCTGGAGGGACACGAAAACCAAGTACTCCACGTATCGTTCTCACACAACGGCCTCCTATTCAGCTCCTGTTCCAAAGACGGCTTCGTGAAGGTGTGGTCCACTGAGTCCCGGCCCACTCGGGTCCGCCACTCGGCCGACATGAAGCAGTACTCATGGAATTACACCCAATACTCGCAATTCAATTCGTCAGACACTCTGCTACTGGTGTCTGGCGTGCACTTCGGCGTCCATACGGCCAGCGGTGAGATAGCGGTGTTTAATGTGGAACCGGGCGGTGAGTTTCAGCTGCAGTGCCGGGTCCTCAACAAGCCGTACGACATATTCGGCACGTGGTATACAGACGACTACCTCGTCTCGAGTCGACTCCACTTCTTAGGCCATTTGGTCTCGTGTTCGGCCCTTTGGCTCAATAAGGCGTGTCAGGAGTCGGAGTCCGAGCGCAAGCCTATCATCAAACGGATGTTCAGGTTCTACAACAAGAACGCCAGTTCCATACGCACTGTATTAGTGGCCGACTGTCTCGCGGACCCCGAGGATGACAGCCCACCCGACCCTCAACCCTCGGAAACAGATAGTTGGGGTCGAAAGTTAGCGCACAATCGCGGTCACAGTCACAGCGCCGGTAGTGCCCAACGCGGGAATCCGGTGTCCAGTTTGGGCGCCAATCGACTGCTGAAGTCGTTGCAAACGCCGCCCAACTATAGCCAACGCGACTTCTATGGCGCCGACTCTAACATCTCGTGCACTAACCAGAGTCCCATCAGATATAGTTCGGAATACCGGTGCGAACAACAGTCCTCCTCCTCCACCACTAACCGAAACCAAAGAACTTGTGATAACTTAAGCAGAACTGTGAGCAATGACACGGACTCGGGTGACAGTGATTTCGATGACCCGCCCCTCCCGTGGAACGAGGATTGGCTCAACTTAAGCGACGATGAGCTCAATGACTACACCACTACCGGCGCCGTTAACACATCTAAAAGCGATCACAAATCTGCGAAAAGGGACTCAAAATCGCCGAACTTATCCCCGGAAGAGGAGTCCTCCGCCACCACTAGTCGTTTGCTATGCAATGAGGATAAACTATTGCTGTTTACATCCGGTTCCCTCACATATACACCCCATCAGATTGGGATCAAACGAATTAAGCCAATAGTGTTCGAGGAATTTATGTCACAAACGGCTTCCCTTTCCAAACGACTGGAGGAGCGCCGACAGGAACAGGAGAGCCAAGCGATGGCCGCCTCTCCCAACTGGCACGAGGAGGAGGCGGTCGCCCACATGTTCGACACCGTCGACCACACCATCGACCTTAAGGGACACATCATTGGCATGTGTCTGAGCCCAGATCACCGGTACCTCTACGTGAACGTGCGGTCGTGGCCCGAGAACGCAACCATCGACAACCCCCTACACCCGCCCCCTATCGCCCAACAGATCGACATTCATGTCATAGATTTGAAGACATTCAAGAGTGTGGGCAATATGTACCGCTCACACAAGGCCTACACTCCCAACGACGAGTGTTTCTTCATATTCCTCGATGTATGCGAACAGTTTGTGGCCTCAGGTGCCGAAGACAATCACGGATACATATGGGACAGACACTACGGCCTGTGTTTGGCGCGACTCCCGCACCGGGATATTGTCAATTCGGTCGCCTTTAACCCGAAAGACCCCGAAATGATAGTGACGGCCAGTGATGACAAAACGCTCAAAATCTGGAGATCCAGGTCTCAGATGAACGAATCGAGACATTACTCCAAAACGCGGCTCCTTTCTAGTGATTCATAACAAATTGTTTTGTTTTTGTGATTTGTTTTTGACTTTAATTTTTACTACTTTTATATGGTTTGTTATAATGATTTGAAGTAATATTTACCGCAACTTTTTTCATAGTATTACCGGTACAATTACATTTGTACCCAAATTTAAAGCTTTACGTATATGTGAAACTCACTTACAGTGAACTTACAATACAATGCAATCTAAATCCTTTATACTTTGGGGAAAGTTTTGTATACTTATTATAATTCATTGAAATAGAGTATAATTTAAAGTTATAAAATAAGGCGATAAATAATATTTACTAGAAATTAGTCTTTTGTTAATTAAAAGTTTATTTTTTTTTGAAAACGCATAAAATATCACTTTTTATTGACTTTTTCCACGCTTTGAATATTTTGGTAGTTTTTATTTCTCGTTGATTTTTGTTGCATTTGTGAACAGAATATTGAACTTCGGGTTCACTTGAAGTGTTGTATAATTTATTTGCAAAAACTAATAAATTATTTTTCTAATCACTTTTAAAGTTTGTCTTAATTGTTATTACTATTTAAAACTTAATCATAAAACAATTAGCGACTCTTAAATTCACTTATATTTTACGTTTGATTGCAATTATAATATTTTATATACAAATCTATTTCAAAAGTATCAAATTGTCTAAAAATGAAAGTCTAATGTCTTGGGTAACGGAACTTCATATCGATAAGAGAGGTGAGAGACACCTAATGAGATGATTGACTTCAATACCCGGTTAAATACTCTCTCCATTCCCCCGATATATA